TTTTTTTTTTTTTTTTTTTTTTTTTTTTTTTTTTTTTTTTTTTTTTTTTTTTTTTTTTTTATAAAAGGTCAAGGAATACCCCCTTTGCGTAAAAGTTACGTTTTTGTAGGAGAAAAAAAAAGATAATGTTGGTCCTTGCGGTTATTTTTTTTTTTTGGCTCCCACGATACTTGCCCGGTATGTAACGGTATATCATGTGGAGCGCCTCTTGAGTGTATACTTATGTACACAGCGAACATGTATATCGGAGACTCGGGGCTCGTCCGTTCGTTCGTCGAATCTAACGTACTTGTGTGGCAAGAAGCGCTCTCTTTCTCTCTCTGGCGTTATGTAACGTAAACGTAAAAAAAAAAAAACAAAAATCGCTCACGCGTGTATGGGCGCGATTTCACCGAAAGACTCCGGTTGGACTTTTTTTGGGGAGGTATAAGTATTCCGTGCAACGAGCTCAGAAGATAATTTTTTTTCAAATTTTTCTGTAAGTACAACTGTTTGCGACTGTGTCAAAAGCAAGAGTAAGGTGTTTTTTTTAGAAAATCGTAACTCGCTCGTGCTTACATCGTTTGAACTTGTATTGTGATTGTAGTAGACCAGTACACAGCTTGCGTGGTTACAAAAAAAAACAAAAAAAAAAAAAAAAAAGTAAAAGGCCACGAACGTACGAGGCACCGAAATTCGAGGAACCATCGCTCCTGCTCTCACTTTCTTGCGGGTACGCGTGAACTCTCTTTCTCTCGGGTTCATTAAACTCCTCTCCGGGGCACCTCGAACAAGGAGAAACGTACAACATTATGCATGCACCTTTGTGTACACACACGTACCCGCTCTCTTGGCAGGAAAAATCGAGGAGGAGGAGGAGGAGGTCGAAGGAGCTTTGGCTACACAAAAGTCGATCGACCTCCAAAAAAAAAAAAAGAAAATAACTTTCACTCTTACAAATGTGTGACTATTATCGGTAGTTGTAACGGGGGAAAAAAAAAAGTATCGAAAACCCATCCTCATCTCGAATTAATATATTATTGTAAGAAAGCGGGCCACTGCAGAGGACGAAAATAAAGAAAAATTTATACACCGGTGATAATTTATGTAAACGATCAAAGAGCCGCAACACGTGTGCATATAAAGCGCCGGTTTGTACACGAGTTACATCGAACGATAAAAAAAAAAAAAAAAAAGTACCGGGACGCGTTGCGTAAATGAACGAGCGCATATATTATAATGGCGTAGTTCATTGGGCCGAAAGTGCGGGTATCAAAGCGAGGATAATTGATAAATAAACCCCGTCGGTGTGATCGCGTGTTTTCCTAAAGTTCAACATACAGCGATATCCTTAAGGTCCGACAAAAATCCACGATTTATGCGACATGGCCAATCCGAACGGATAAGCGGTGCCTGTTTGATGTATATATACAGTTTGGTTGATTAATTATGTAAAGCACACAAGTCCCGCAATGCATGTACACACGGGTTGCGTCTGCAGGAATTGTAACGAGCACGGCTTGACAAATCGATTGCGTCATTGATTTTCGTAATTCACAACGGACGATTGAATAATTATACATACCGATAGTTTGGGTGCACCTACGACCATCACGTGAAATGTTTCATCGGATCAAAATAAAAATTATATTTGTTGTTCAATTAACGTTTGACTGTGGTTTTCCGTATTACTCATTGTGGGGGAAAAGTAAAAAATCCACGAAATAACGTAGAGCAAAGAAAATACCGATTTATCGGTAGCCAATTTCACATGCGCAGGATTATAATAAGTTGCAGTAACGGCCTTGCTCGGTGGAAGGACGCCGGTGCTTTTGATTAACGCGGGTGGTCTGCATTAACAGGACGGCATGGAAATCGAGAAATTACCAAGCCGCCCCGCTTGCAATTATTATACATATGTACTTCGAACCCTCTCCCTGTGTACACTTGGATACGCATCTCGATGGCTAATGAATTATCGTGGGCGACTTTTACCCGACTCCATGCGGATGGGGGAGTTTGATTAAAACTCGGACGCGCTCTACGAGTGTACCGTTAATCTCTTCGACTGTGTGCGTAAAATATTCGGTCTGTGTGTGCACCATAACTTTTTCTCGAGCCGGGGACAGACAGATGATTTTGTTAACCATCGGATCCGAATCTTTTTTTTTTTTCTTTTTTTTTTCAAATTTACATACCGATACCTACACCATATACACTCCGTGGAGATAATTATAACCGTGTGGATAGAGCGTGGGGTATTTGCAGATACGACTCGGCCATTCGCAAATTAAACTTTCTAAGCGAAATTTGCGCCAAGCTTGTACGTTATACGCGTTAATTTTTTTTTTTGTTTTCTCCCGCGTCACGCGTGCACTTTTATACCCATACGCGCGGTCCGTATATTTATCCCCGAGGAATGTTTCTTATCCCATTGCTCTCGACATCTGTATCGCCGTCTATTTTCTGGATACACGTATATAATTTGGTACCGTTTCGAGTAGCATCCACGTATCCACGCCACATGTATAACTTGGAAGTCGTAAAGATATACCGATCATGGGCTGATTGACGAACGCGCGTGTGGGACAAAAAAAAAAAAGAAACATGGGACGCAAAAGGTCGTTCCGTGCATAGGTATACATATGGTTATGCGGAACGAGAGAAGCCGCTGCCGTTCTCCCCGAGCTTACCGCGATACAATATAATTATGTGCGTGTCTTATAATGGCACTGAATTAAAGTGCACACATGAGCCCCCCAGGCAAGGCAGCCTCCTTTTATTTCGCGTTCAAGGTGGGGCCCAGTGTAACAAAACGCAGGGTACGGGTATAATCTTCTCGGCTCTCGAGAAAAATGAAAGTAAAGGATTTATATATATCTGTCTCGCGACGGCGCGTGTGTACACGCGTTGTGCAGCCTCGAAGCGAGATAGTGAGCGGGATGCTGGGCGTGCGTGTATGTGTGTACCTGTGGCTGCACGGGTCCTTCGAGAGAAAGCGCTCTCGGCGAGAAAGTCCGCGGTGAAGGAGGAGGGGAGGCCCCTGCGCTTACGTAAGAGATACACCGCGACAAAATAACTTTGCTCCCATATTGCACTCCCCCTCTATTTCACCCGATATTTTGAAACTCTGTATTTTCACGGATGATTTTTTTTCTCCCCTCCGACGCGTCTACGTGCATCTCCAATCACGGGCGAGGACAATGAGTTCTTTTTTTTTTTTTTTTTACAACCTAATCGTTGGCCGACTCCTCCCGGTGTAGGTATTTGCGTGTCGATACACTCCCTCTTGCGTACGAATCGGTGATGAGATTTTTAGGACTGCATGATAAAAGAGCGGCGCGTGTAAATGTGATGTCAAAGCGATACGAAAAGTTGTTTTTTTTTTCCCTATAGATACGCCTGGTCTCTGTGTGTGTGTATTGGGGGGTTTCGAAATTCATTCCCCCCCCACCCACCCACCCGTTACCGTTGCAGCTGGCGGAGCGACAAAACACACGGCCGTTTGTTTCCCAATCGATGAAATTCACTCGCTGAAAGCGCGGCTTTCGCAACGGCGCTCCTCGGGCGCCTCGATTAGGGGAAAGAAACGCGCCGCCCGACAATCGCTGAGAAAATCTTGGATGAGCTCTCTTTACCTTTTTTTTTTTTTCTTTTTTTTCCTCTTTGGTTCTGTGTATAGCGTAGTGAACAATCGATGCCTGAGACGAGGGGGCTTTATGGAGTGGCGCCGTGGATGATAAGCTTTCTTGTGTTCATTGGTTCAAGCATCGTCACAATTACGCGCGCTGATTACTATCGTCGATCGAGGGGGTGTAGTTGGGAAAAAACAACTTTGGCATACAGTCGCGTTTATAGGAAGCAAATGTCAATGAGTTAGGGGTCACTTTGGAGCTTCGACGTCACGTTTAATAGTAGACGCGCCATTAGTCCATATCGATGCGATTTCAAGTAGATCAAGACGAGATTAGATCAGACGTCGATTATCAGGAGAAACGCGCTGTATATACCCACCCAATAGGTATTGTATGTTTTTTCCATGAATCTGTCGTTAATCAATGATAGTAATAACACCGATTCTCGAAAAACCCAGCCTGCGTTTCTCACGTGCCTCATTAGTATCGTGCCCGCGTATCTCTCCTTCGTGTAAAATAAAAGGCGCAAGGCTATACAAACAAACAAAAAAAAAAAAAAAAAAAAAAAAAAAAAAAAACAGGCTTGGGGGGTGAAAAAAAAAAAAAAAAAAAAAAAAAAAAAATAGCTCCGTCCTACCTATACATCTATATTATGGACCGCATCGCGTTTTCGGGTCTTTTTACTTCGCTCTCTCTCTCTCTCTCTCTCTTATCATCGGCGTCTCTCGAATCGAGAAGAAAAATTTCGTTAGGAGAGAAAGCCGTGGTTGTGAAACGGCTTGGACTGAAAATTTATCGTCCCGTTGAATCATTAGGTGGAAAAAGACTCCGAGCCTTTTTTATTCTCGAAACAAAGCGGGTTTAACATCCCATAAACGATGTATAGGTAGTGGGCAGGGTGTATGCTGGAAAGGGGGGTGTAATCCGCGAAAATTACGAGACGACGCCCCAGCCCCTTGAAACCGAGATTTTTAAAAGTGTATACCCAATAATATTATATCTCGAAGAAGAGCAAACGAACGAAAGAAGAAGCATCCTCCTCCGACGGGAAAACAAGTAGGACCCCATGCACGTATAGTAAATACTCGAGAAAAAGAGAGAAGCAACACACACCTTATGTATATAGCTATCCTCGAGCATGTATATATTGTCAGAGCAGCGGGGGAGAGTTGGCTACCGCGAGGAGGAGGAGAAGCTTCGCCGAGGGCAGTGCGAGACGTTCGGCTTCTCGAGCTGAAATAAGGGGAAAGGGGTGGGGGGAGGGCGGCTGTTGGGGCCCCTTGTGGTGGGAAGTAGGGGCCCGTACCACGTGACCGGCCGGTCATATATAAATCTGGGAGCCGTGCCGGCACGCAAGCCAAAACGAGCGCGTTCGTTGTCCTCGTTGCGTATACACTCACGTAAGGAGAAGAAAAGCCTGCAGGAAGGGAATATATATATATATAGTGAACTCTCGGCCCGAACAATACTATAGTGCTCTGAATAATAATAATAATAATAAAATATAAGACAATCGACGTATCAACGACCAATCGACAGGATGAGGACCTTTTTGGCTGTGGCAGCGATTCTCGTCGCTGGTACGTACCGTTTGCAAGCATATAGTACATTGACACACAATTCACACTCACACACACACACACAAAGTGGATTTTGTAACAACTCACTAGACCTGCATTTGAGCTTAGGTAGTGAAAGTCCGAAAAATCGGTTGAGATCGGTATCGTATCGGAAAATAAAAAAAACAGAGGCAAGGGTAAAAAAGGTGTACGGGTGCAGTGTTGTAAATGCTTAATCGCAAGTAAAGCCTCTCGTGAGAGTCGGCTCTCTCTTTTTGGCTCTTCATCCCGTTTTCACTTGCACTTTCGCGTTTCGCGGCTGCGTGCAAAGGAGATAAAACGCGCCAGCTCGTCGTCGGTCTATCGAGATCACCGAGTACAGCACCTCCGAGCCAATTAGCCTGTAGCGCGTTGTATCGATTTTATACGCGCATTGTCCGTATGCCGCGATGCTCCATATATGCGCCGCAGTGGGTGGATTTTTCGACTTGTGACGCACGACTTTAATTAGAGGGCGCGCGCTCGCCTACGCCTTTCCAAAGATTCTCCTTTCATTTTCTTCCGCGCGGGTGTAGGTGAGAAGAAGAAAAAAAAAAAAAGAAAAAAAAAAGCTTCTCCCCGACCGATAACTCGAACGAGCTAATTACGCACCGGTGAGAAGCGAGTGATGTAAAAACCTACAGGTTATACAGATATACGTGCGGAAACGCGTGCAGTATACGTACATATACAACGCGACGCTTTGAGAAATCGCGCAGCTTCGCGAACCTTCGATCGGACTCTACGGCCCGCGCCTTTACAATGCATTTTTTTTTTTTTTTTTTTTTTCAAACTCAATCTGTAATGTCAAAGTGTTGAGAGATAAGGAGGATATGGCGGTGTTCTGCGCGCACGTGATTAAAAACCAAAGCCTCGTGTAAATCTTGGATGTATTTTCCAAAATTGTCGCGCAATAACAAGGGCGAGCATATAATATATGCAAACGCCTTGTCGTTGGATAATGGATTTTCGAGGGATATTGCTCACACGCTGGGGGGGGATAAAACGCACCGACTACGGAGCAATAAATCATCGTACCTGTACAGGTATTACGAAACGCTGGTTTGTTTTCAAGTAGTAACAGCCGAGCACCGGTCAGACACATCCCGGGAAGTGCTCATTTGACTGCACCCTGCAACGGCGTTAATTAGCATCGCGGAAAGCAAAAGTGCTGTCGCGCTAACGAGGAAAAGTGGAGGAGGGAAATCAAGTCGCGCGCGCCTTAAATCCGCTCTCGCGGCAAAAAAGAGACACGAGACGCGGAAACCGAGACCGGGTAACACGCCTATATGTACAAGCGTACGCCTCGAAACCGGACTCTTATGCGCACGGATGCGTGTGTGTTCACTTTCATGTTAAGCCATGCGTAAACATATAGGTGTTTGTAACTTGCACGTAATATTTAACACAATAGCCCGCGAGAGAAAGGTGAGAAAGTTTGATTGCCCCGTGAAGGGGGGGGGGAGGGTCTCAGGGTCATTGGTTGTTTTTTTTTTTTTTTTTTTCTTGTGCTCTTATACATAGGACTAAGTGGTTATGAATCGAGTTGAGGTCAAGAAAGAAAAACAGTCACGAGTGCGAGAATAATTATGATAAAAAGTCAACTTTCAGCCAATAATTGAATCGACTGTTGAATTTACTTGCCAATGAGTGACTAGTCGAACGAATAAACTCTTAGGCCAATGGAAGCATTAATGCGAAAAATCAATAAAACTATTTGATTTGTTTTTATGGACCTATTTCGTTTTCGTTCCTTCTCTTTTGACCGAAAGATGTCGTCAGACATTTTATATTTAGCTTTATTAAGTGACGTACATGTTTAAGTGAACAAATATATAGCTTTTTCATGCGATGTTAATTTTAAGTTTATTGTGATTTTATATTAAGAGTGTACAGCGTTTAAACGAAAAAAGAAAAATAAATTATACAACTTGTATTATAGCATTATAGTCTTTATATGTAATTTAGTTCATACGTAAATTGTAACAGAACTTGTAAATAATGTTTAATTAATTTCTTAAGTCTATGTCCATATTGGATGTATTTCTTACGTCGTTAAAGTTTGTAAATACTAATGTCACTTAACGCAAATTATGTACTTGATTTTATTGTCAAATAAAATTATATTTTCGTATTTTTTACATAAATAAACTTGGTTTTTCACTTTATTTCATATAAATAACCCGTGTCCTACAAAAACTTAATTGATAAGTTTTTGATTAATCTTTGCTTTTATAGGTGTAAAGTAAAATAATATCGATTTTTGTAAAAACACTGGACGTATATTAGTCTTTCGGATTAATTAACGTAAAAATTTTCGTATAAAAAATGGGTAAAATATCTTTCCTACCATTGTCAAGGTCGTTCTCTCGGTGCAACTTACATTTTGCTAATATGTTGTTTATTACCATATTTTAGCAAAATAAAATTTAAAAACACCAATTTTCCCCTAGTTAAGTGTGTGAATAGGGTCTTAGAAGGAAATTTCNAAAAAAAAAAAAAAAAAAAAAAAAAAAAAAAAAAAAAAAAAAAACCCGGCGCAAGTGAAAAAAGAGAAGAGGAATGAAATCGTCTGATATTTAATAGCTCCTTGCGCAAGCGAGCGCCCCTCCCTTCCCTCGTTATGTTACACTCCATCTTCTCGTGTACATACACATGTACAGGTATACGTATCGTAAATACACGTTTTGCGATGAGAGAGAGAGAGAGAGAGATAGGACGAGGCCTCGACTGAAGACAATCAAAAGTAACCGCAGATGAGAGAAAGAAGATGGTTATGATATATACATCCATGTATGGGTTATATAGTATATACTGTACTGTAATCAGTTTCGTCACGCGTCCGCTGGATTATCATCGAGAGAAAAGAATGAACACGAGAAAAATCGTATACCACAGCTTTCCGGGGATTTTTTTTTTTTTTTGTACCTCGGAGGGTGCACCGGGAGGAAGAAAGACAAAAAAAAGGACACTCGGAGGGTCCTTGACGTAGCTCTGAATTTAATTGAAAAAAAAAAAAAAAAAAAAAGGGTTAATAAAAGAAAAAGCTCGCAAGTACGGCGACTTTTACTTTTCAAGGACCCTCCGTAAATTACACGGGTATGTATACCAGAGGAGGGGGGGAGGTGGTGAGGAAGGATAATATCACGTCACCACGAAACCTTACGCTTTTACTCAGCAAGAATAATCTCTCACTGGCGATCCAAGTGTTTGCCCCCCCCCCTCCCTTGTACATTGTGACGTGGAATCCAACGATTCGACGAGAGGCGACAAATGTCGCAACGCGACAACAAGTATACCTGTATAGGAGAGCGGAAGACGACGCACGGGGTTGACGATTCGCGACGATCGCGGTATACGGTGTAAGAAAGGTACCTGACGCTCCGACGTCTCGTCTTGCCAAGCGGCTTCTTGTTCTACTCGATACGTTACAGCGCCGTACACGCGGATAGATGCTGCGAGAGATATCGCCTTTCCACGCGACTTTTGTTTCAAGGACAGCCGTTTTTTTTTTCTCCCCCCCCCCCCCAACTCTTTCCTTCTAATCCCTCGTAATATGGGCCATAGGTAGATATGTGCACATGCATAACCATCTCGTTTGAAAGACCCGAATTACCCTCCTCCTCCTGTATCCCTGAGATGCTTCGTTGGGCGCCCTTACTTTAGTGCCCCCGCGCGCATAGGTGTACATCATCTTTCGATCCACAAGTAAATCGTGTCTTTTTGGTCTCACTGTAGCGTCGGGGCGTTGTAACGAGGGAATGTCACCGGTCACTAGTAATCCACCCTCCTTCCACCCCTTGTTCCTCGTGAGGCAAGAAAAAGGCGCTCGCACAGCTATATGCAAAAGGTGTGAGATCGCGGTTGCGTAAAATCACGACCAGAGGAAAAAGAGTCGAGGAATTTTCTTTCGCCAAGCTCGCATTGTATCACCGATCCGATAATTTCGCTTGCTCAACCGTGGAGGACTCGAATAAGATGAACCATCATCATCATCATCACGGCTGCACAACCGAAATTATCGTTACATAAAACAAGAGGGCGAGACGTGGTGAAATTACGTCGTTGTCGTTGCAGCGAATGAAAGAGCGGCGTTGAAATCGGAGAACGCCCGTGTAGATCGTCCGCCTGCCCATTTTGTGTGAAAAATAAAAATCGAGCAAAAAAAACAAAAAAAAAAACAAAAAAGAATATTGTATACACCCAGCGCGTATCTTACACGAGGGTGCGTGTATAAAATAAAACACAAACGCTTGTACACGTTACATAGTGTTGCCATACCTTGCGAGCTAAGCGTAATTTTGGAGTCTGTCGCCGGCGAATACATATATAGTAGCACAAATAACAACACGTGTCTGTCAAGTTCAATGCGCCCAAGGCTTATTAGCATTAGCATTATTATTATTAAACTCTATATCATTGCTCGTGGATAAGTCCAGATACGTGTGCGACCAATGTATATGTGCACCTTCGTCACCAATATCATTGTATATACACATAACGAAAGTAACTTCTGTATAAATATTATCTCTCGACCAGACGAACAAAGAAAAATGGCTTCTAATTGGACGCGCGACAATGGACTCTTTGAATCACAAAATAAACAATCAAGGGTGAAAAGCCCTTTGTATATCCGCGGTCAGTTGACGCGAGTATACCGATCACCGATCGTACGTATACAGTACCGGTTTTCTCGGGACCCGTTGTTGTAACGACGGCGATTGAAAAAAAAAAAAAAAAAAAAAAACCTCCACCCCCTGTCAGTTTTGAAACAACCGGCGCGCGTGTACGATTTCCCAACCCATACGTACAACACACACTCTTTCCAAAAGATAAGCCGGACAGAGCGAGAAAAAGGAGGGGGAGGGGGGGGGGCGATTAAATTTTGCGATTTATTGCCCCGGTGGCGAACGCGCCGGGAGCTCCTTTGCCTATTATCGCGGGTATTGTATGTACTGTGCTACACGGGTGTTATCGAATGCACGGCTCTCGTCGCGCGGGGGACTCACGCGAAAAGTGTCCCCGCGACAAAAGGCCTTTCGACACGCGGCCCATTGTCTCTCTGCTCGATCGTACTCGCATTCCTTCGCGGACAACAACGCGCAGCCGGATGCGAGTTTCATGAGTCGATTTGTAGAGAAACTCTTGTGTCTGTAGGCGCGCGCGGTGAAAATCTCGCGTGTTTAGCGTCACGAGGGGGGGGGGGGGGACTGTAGAGAAAAAATCGAGAGTGCGTGTAAGCTTGGAGATGAAAACTAAAAAACAAAATAAACCACTTGCAGACGAGGAGGTGGCAAATGAAACGTTTTCACCGGGCTGCTTTTACTTTTCTCTCCGGGAGACGACGGCGATCGTTTTTATTCATGGCTATGGGGAATCCACTTTGCCCGCGTATGATTCGTAGGGCGCGAGCCGATTTCTCGCGGTTGCTTGGCTTTTTTTTTTGTTTTTTTTTTTTTTTTTTTTTTTATCGATCGGCCGTTTGTGCATCGAAATCGTTCGCGGCTCGAATCGATGCTGCACACCTAATAACAACAGTATAGCAAGAAAGTACGCAATTAGGAACACCTCCCGCTATCTGTGCGTGTGCAGTGTTTTTCCTACGGTAGCTTTCACTCGCGCGCCCCGACATTACAATTTCAGGCGAGAGGCGGAGAAAAAAAGAACCAACAAACATCAGTGAAACCACTTTGATTAAATCGGAGAGCAACGGCAACGAGTATCCAATAATAGGTATACACGAGTACTGCAATTACCGATGGCTGGCGATTCTTACACAAACGTATATATAATATACGTATATAGGTGTCTCTAATAAGTATACCATACCGACGATGAAAAATTACCGTGTGAACTTGACATTCGTCGGCTCAATTTTCTTGTTTCTTTTTCCTGAATACCGATTTTCGTTCATTATATTGATTCACTTTGCTATACACGCTTAGGCAACACTATCGACCAAAACACCAATATGTACGACTATGCAATGAGAATAATAATGAGTTGGGGGAAAAAAAAAAAAAAAAAAAAAAAAAAAAAGGGGCGAGCGGACAGGAGTCGTTCAAGTGTCCGGACGATTACGGGTTCTACCCGCATCACTTGTCGTGCGACAAGTACTGGAAGTGCGACAACAACGTGGCAGAGCTGAAGACGTGCGGCAACGGTTTGGCCTTCGAGGCGACGGACAGTAAATTCCTCACGGAGAACTGCGATTACCTGCACAACGTCGATTGCGGCGAGCGCAGCCAACTCGAGCCACCGGTCAGCACGACCCATTGTCCCCGATTGTACGGCATATTCCCCGACGAGAGCAAGTGCGACGTGTTCTGGAACTGCTGGAACGGCGAGGCGTCCAAGTACCAGTGCAGCCCCGGACTGGCCTACGACCGCGAGGCCCGCGTCTGCATGTGGGCCGACCAAGTGCCCGAGTGCAAGGTCGAAGGTAAGTTTCCCTTTCTCCGCTCGTACGCCCTTTTTCACCCAATGTTGAAAATGATGATGTATCATCCCAGAGGTGGCCAATGGCTTCGTTTGCCCGGCCGCGGGCGAGGTGAGCGGCTCCCAGGGTAGCTTCTCCCGACACGCCCACCCGGACGACTGCAGAAAGTACTACATCTGCCTCGAGGGCACCGCCCGGGAGTACGGCTGCCCGATCGGCACCGTCTTCAAGATCGGCGACTCGGACGGCTTCGGCATCTGCGGCGACCCCACGGAAGTTCCCGGATGGTGAGGCTCCACTTTTTCCTTTCTCCTTTTCACCTCGTACAAGCGCACGCGTTGTAACGATCGCCCCAATGTCTTTCATCCAGCGAGGATTACTACGGCATGCTGGATCTGATGACCATAACTAAGAGCGAGCTGCTGAGCGGGCTGCAGAGCACCGGGGAATCGAGGAACGTCCAGCCGGGCAAACCCGGCAAGCCGAGGCCCGGTGTCGCGGCCCAGACGGCGAGACCTTCCCAGCAGGTCCAGGAGCAATAAACCCACCCACTTTTCTTTCCTTCTTCCTCCCCCACCCCTCCTTACCCTCCCTCGCAACGGATACACCTATATACACACCCACTGTACGAGACACCGCTTGATGCATCATACGCCCGACTATTGTTGATGCTGTTGTACTGTACGAAACCACAAGCATGTGTGTATAGGCTGCCACGCAAGTGAATGAGCCATCCCCAACTCGGTCCACTGGAACATCCTTTCGTTGATTTTGGAGCACGTCCAATCGACCGAACGACCGGGAGACAATTGCGACAAAATTATACGTACGGTTTAATTAAGAATAAACAACAATGAACAAATACAATAACGCAAGAGAGAGAGAGAGAGAGAGAGATCAGGGTATCTAGTCTCGTCGACGCCCACGGCGATCCCTCCCCCCCCCCCCCACCGTCTTTTTCTTCGCTTCCCTCCTCCGCTGTCCTCTCCCCTTTTATACTTCGCGCCACGTGCACACATATATATGTATGTATGTATGTTTATTCGCATAATCGACACGGAGCGAGCGGTAAATTGCATTTGAGGATTTTTCGCTCGACTCCCGACGCAACGCTGGCCATCTCTCCTCTTTTTCACGTACATCCGTATACGATTTTCTCCCCCCTCCCTCCTCCTTTCTCTGCTCGTGTGATCCATACAATACTGTTATTGTACCATACATGTATCATTTTCTATTGCCACGCATTCGTGTGCACCGATGCAGAAACAATTACGATCAAACGCATTTTTTTTTCCTTCCCCCCCCCCCCCCCCTCTTGTACGTGTTAACTCAAATTTTTACTTTCGCTCGGTCGAGAATCGCATACCCTTGAGGAATTAGGTCAATAAATGTCCTCGTGTGTGGCTATCTTTCAGGGCGAAATGTCGCCAAATACAATAGCGACGACGATTCTCGACCGAGCGCGTGTACATTCGATTTTTCAATTCGATCGTCGTACATCATCGGTAACGGTGTTTGCTTAACGAAATTCATGCATAAAGGCACGTGTAGTTTGGCGTTTGCGCCGATGTACCCTTTTTTACCTCTGATGATGAATTTGTTGAGAAAAAGTACGTTTCAAGGCTGTACTTATACATTATTGTACTTTCCTCTGTCACGGAGATTTTGTAAATTGTTGAAGAAACAAGCGATTCGGATTGTTAAATTCGTGCGAGCCTGTGTGCGTACTTTTTTGTATGAAAAGAAAAATAAAAAAATAAAAAAAATAAAATAAAATGAAATAAAACAAAAAAAACAAACAAAAAAAATTGTAAAGAAAGCGATTTAGAAACTGACATAATACTCATGTGTGTTTGACATACAGCGTAAGATCTTATTGTATGACGTCGGGACGAGCTTCGATCGCGCGGTTCAAGCGCGGCAAACTTATGTTGATCCGTTGATTCGGCGTTTGATTAAAAAAAAAAAAAAGTTGTTGATTTTGGTGTGAATTTGAAATTTTTCGACAGTCGACTGAACCGCGTCGAAGCTCGTGAAAACCCGGAATTATTCACTTCGTCGTCTCTTCTTGAGAGTATAAGACACAAAAATGCCAATAAAAATTTTTAAAAATAAAACAACCACCAATCTTTGATGTGTAAGCAATACCCACCCACTTCCCGCGTGTCCGGTGCGAAGAGAAATTCGGTTGGGATTACCCACCGCGGACGTAGCTCTCACTTTTCCTCCACGTTTTCGCGGAAAGAAAAAGAACACAAAGACAAGAGAGTCGATTTTTTTTTTTTTTTTTTTTTTGGCATCAGCCGCCGAGGCGCATCGCGAATCACGAGGTCGCGGCTTCGGCGCCACACGGCCGACGCAGCTCGTGTCCCGCTTACGAAATAACAACGCTCCTTTGTCTTGATTTTTTTTTTTTCAGTAGAGATTGCGCAGGTGGTCACTTTTTACTCGGGGCGTTTTTTCCCGTCCGGATTGCAATTGACACGATACACTACAACGAACCGATTTCTTTAATGAACCTCGATCGCAAAAGTAAAATTTCGATGTGCTCGTTCATTTCGATCTCTCGTGTATGACAGGTAAAGAAAAATGCTTCAAAGCCACGCACCAGGTACACCTACGCACATACACGTACGTGCAGCACACCCACCGTAGACGACAAATTTGCATTGTTACGTTCGCAAAAGGGAGAGAGAGAGAGAGAGAGAGAGAGACTTTATCGCAAAAGACGCATTTGCATTGAATGGTCTTGCGTAACTCGTGTCGCTACAAACACGCGGGTTGGGCGAAATTTTTGTGTATATCGCCTATCCGCCAAATTAAAACCGACCTACAAATGCATTCCCGGCCTCGTATGTAAAAAGCCATAAATCTGTAACGAGGCTCTTTCTCCGCCGAACCGATATACCTGTGCATTATTTTCACCGACCGTCGGCCGCTATTGTCGCACAGCGCTAACGAACGCGCAGTATAATAACTTCCTGGCTGTGTACTTACTGCATCTCTGTTTTTTTTTTTTTTTTTTTTTGTTTTTGTTTTTTATTTATACATAGCGAAATCGGCAAGCTTGCCGATTTTTCGATCGTTACGAAAATCTTGTCCTTCGATGCGGATTAGCATATGGGCAAAATATCGGAGGTTTATTATACAAGCACCCAAGAGTAGCCCCTGCCGAGCCGACCGAGGCGAAAGTAAGCCGATCTCGCTCGATTTTTCAATGTTCCTCGATTTTTCAGGACCGAAGGAGCGAGGGGGAGGGGCCAGGGGGCGCGAGCATTCCTTTCATGATAATGAATAGAAAGTCAATATGCGCGCCGCGGCGACGAGAGAAAGAGACGCCGGGCTTCGATCGCGTGAAAGCCTACACAGACAGATGCGAGAGGTGATTTAGCTTCTTTGTGCACGTATACGTCATGCAGTGTGCAACGTGGCCGAGGGAGGAGGGAGAGCAGCTTAAGTTTGACGTGTTATCGTTGCATGCGCCCGAGTATGGGTGGTTTACATGGTGGTTTTTTTTTTTTTTTTTTTTTTTAATACTTTTTTTTATCCATCTGAAATGTCCCTTCCGGTATCGCGTTTCTCCATGTCTCTGTCGCGCGTATTGTGTCCTGTACAAGCGTTTGGGACCATTGTAGGGCATATACCGATTGGATTAGGTTGGATGGGTGTCAACGGCGTGGGACTTTTTTTTCTCCAGTGAACTAAAAATCGAAAGATTTCCTGAATTTTGTGTAGTCTGAAAAATGTTGTTTATGGTACTTTGATACAGGCCAGGCTTTGGTTGCGAGAATTTTATTTTACGTATAAATGCACCAAGTTACATCAAATTTAATGCTTATAATATTTATACTATAATGAAAGTAATTGGAGTATAATATGGTCAATATAAAACCTTGGGAACTTGTTTTATGGCAAACTATAAACAAAAATGAAATATGTAATGTATAATGAAATGGATTGAATCAAAAGGTTAAGCAATAAAAACGACCTTCGATTGACAAATTATTAAAGAGTGGAGTTCAATAAAGTAGTTTATTCTTACTTATGTGATGCAGAAGTTTTATGGTAAAAATTGTTTGAATTTCGCGGCATCGGTGTGGATTTGGTTGCAAACACGCATACCAACCGCCGAGTTAAAAATATCTCCTCAAAGAAAACTAGAAGAAATCTTGGAGCACCTTTTCCAACAAGATAATATCTTTTTAAGAAGTATCACAAATAAGTACCTATTTTTTTTACTCCCTTACTTTCACAATAAATCCGTCAAAACATTTCGCAACTTTGATTATTCGTTTTATCAAAAAAAAAAAAAAAAAAAAAAACAAATACTTAGCCATTTTATTATAAAGAATATAAATAGCATTGGAGCATCAACAGCATAAAATATATGATAAATTATTTATCATATTTGGTTACTATATACTAAACGGTTGAATTTAAGCGCATCAGGTTTGCCAACAGCAGTTCGAAAATACGCGAACGTATGAATTTTGCGCGCATTTTTTAAAATTCATGAATACCGATAATATATATCCATATAACAATGTTATGTGAAGTGAAAAGTAAGTATTATTTTTATCGACATCCAAAGAGACCGAAAAAAGTTACAATGGAGCTATGATGCACAAGTAGAAGGCATAAAAGAATAAATGTAAAAAATCTCTTAGTGGTACATATTTTAGAGTGGAAACAATCAAAAATACATAATTTTTACCTATTAAAGGTAATCACAGAAGAAAAGAGAGCTCACCCTGGGCTTTTTTTTTGTTTCTCAATCGTTATGATCGTTTTGTCTGTTGTAACCTACGTTGAAAATAGCCGAAAATTGCGAAAGAAAAAAGGAAAATGACAAGAAAAAAGTTAGCCAATATATGCAAAAGTTTGATAAATGATTATAATCCATAGAGTCTTCTCGTTTTGGTGATTAACGTTATTATATACCTACAAGTACGAAAAAAAAAATAATAATAACAATAATAATAAAGAATAATCAGTTTTGCTGTTCTTAGACTGTTTTTTTATTCATTCAAAGTGCCTGTAGTTATAGACACAAAAGTTATAATCAAATAACATAGAAGAAAAAAATACCAAGTATACAAATAATCTATTATATACTTTGACAGATGGAAAATATATAGGTATATGTATTGTACACTGGCTCAAGATGGCGATTGATGCAGCACTTTGAGGTGAGAATTGAATTGGGCACAGCTGTTTCAAAAAACTTAGTAGGTACTTAGATAGTGACTCAATCGTGTACTTGTAGTGCTTCATGGCTCATTATATCATTTCACACCATCGTGCACGGTATTGAGTATAGTTTGTGGTCAAAAACGCGAGTGTGCTCGAGAGTGTTTGTTGTCTACTTTCGTAGATGCAAAACGTTTTAATAGGCATACGAACATGTGTGTGATCGGGTGTTGATGTGTGTATAAGCGTATATAAGTTATGTGTGTCAATACATCAAATTTCGATGAACATAGTTTGTCTGCTCTCTGCTCTCTCTCTGTGCATAGTGTGCATTGTCTGATGGAAGATCACAAAGATGTTTTTTGTTTTGCTTATCATTAAGTACCATGATGCAGGACGAGCTGCGTTATAGTAGGTGTATATTTTGTGATCCACCCTTTTTACAGAACAACCTATACTAAGCTGTGGAGCTAAGGTTTACGCGCAGGTACTTATTTCTCAAGAGAAGAGGCCAAGGACACAACTAGCAGCAAGAAGTAACCTTCTCAGCTGGTAGCACAACTCCCACCCATCAATTTTATTTCCAGTGTGTTTATATACGTTTTGTTTGTACATAAGTACACAAGTATCAGTGCCTGCTTTAACATACAATTGTTCTTAATGGTATTAAGTATAAATGATTGTAAGTAGTGCTGCTGTTTGAAAGTGAAAAAAAAAAAAAAAAAAAAAAAAAAAAAACTTACAAACAAATAAACAATGTCAAGAATTACTTATGTAACAAAGAGAGAGGAACGCGTATTTGTGTGGATGTAGCCGTGTACGCATGTTAATGTATTTAGTATTTATACATGCCTGATGTGTATATATGTACTTTATAATCAGTTCAGTAATATCAGTGTGTATACTCTACAGCGCTATACGACTATACGATCGCTTATTTTCCCGAGAACGCGGAAGGTATATACTTAGGTTCATAACATGATTAAAATAATCCAACCTCATGTTCTCTCTTCTCTCTTTCTCTTTTCCCCACCTTTTTTGGCTACTCTTCTTCGTCTTTAGGTATCTGTGTCGTTTGCTCTTTTTTTTCCACTTCCAATGACATCGGATTGACAATGGAGTGCCAGCACTGTAGATAGCATGTTTGCATTTTCGAAAATTAAGTTCACACTGTACTTCCTCTTCATCTAGACTTATTGCTGCACGTGATACTCTAGTACCTACCTACTTGCGTGATTAATATTTATCAGTGCATTTTGTGAAAGTGTCGCTCATTAGTTATTCGTCTTCAGTTTCGTGTGTGCATAGTGTGTACATTTTCTTATATCTTGTGAAATAAGGTACTTAAATAAATTAAAAGTGTTTGGAGTTGGAAATGGTTCAGATTTGACATTAACGATTAAAAATAGATTAAATATTGTAACTTTCTACTATAGTAAAAATAATTAAAAAGCATTGAAATTTCATTAGAAAGTATAATGCAGTAGCATTGAAGAAACCTCAGTTTTGTTCTTTCATGTTTACAGATCATGTCCAGAGGAAAACAAAGAATTGAGGTTACAAGGTTTATGAGAGTGCAAAGAGGGAAATTTTAATCAATGCATCAATAAAAAACTGATTCAAAAATGTTTGAATCACCAAGAAGTTTGCAAGAAGTCTGCATTGACTATATCTGTGATAATGTTATGGCACTCTGTGAGTACCACCCCCAAGAAAATGGGGGTGGTTCTTCTTCGTCCTCTTCCGGCTGTATTTCCACTTCATCCGTAGTATGTGAGTATATTTTAAACGGTATCAAGTTTATTTTCTTAATAATTCATTAGTCACTGTATTTTACTTGTAAACAAATGTTTTAGATGAAGAAGAAAGTTGCAGTGTGGGAGAAGGCACCTCAGATTCCTCTCAAGGTGCTTTGCCAACCAGTTCAAGTAGTCATAATTCCGCTAATAACTCAACCAGACTTAGTTTCAAAGATCCAGATATCTTTTTGCCAACAGAGATTTCGGAGCAACTGCTATACAGTTTGTGTGAAAGAAGTAAACTCTCCGATTTTACAATCACACTCTTTGATTCGAAAACCACGAGACTAAGGTATGTGGTTTTTAAAATTGCCAACTTATCAAATAATTTTATTCACTAGCTGCATGAGGTAATATTTTTTCAAACTTGTGTCTTGAATGTTTCAGGCACGTTAAGTTAAAAGATGCATCAAATCTCACTGCTAAGGGACTCAAAGTTCTCAAACAACATAAAATTGTAGATTTAGAAGTAAATGGATTAAAAATTACTGTTAATGATTTGATCACTTGTTTGGGTGAATGGAGTTTGCAAAACCTTAGATCACTAAGTCTTGCTAGAGGAAGCTTTATGGATTGTACAAGGTAAATCTAAAATTGTCTTACAAATACATAATTTAGAGATTAATAATTACAAATTCATGACAGCTATAGAACTAATCGAGTACTTTTGGTTTCACAGATATTGTATCGTAGTAGCTTTAGGTAAATTACGTTCTCTACAAATATTAAATGTGTCGGGTACTGAATTCAACAAACATGGATTAGAGATAGTCGTCGAAGATTTGCCACTGTTGGAAAGCCTTGATATATCGTGCACTCGAGTTGACGATATCTCACCATTGAGAAAGTGCAAGGATCGATTGAAAACGCTCTACATGTATAATTTAAAAACAAGTGGCTGTGGAAATATGATATCCGTATTGTTGGAATTGAACGAGCTGAGACATTTAGATATATCGGACGAGAGAGATGCGTACGTATTTGAGGTATTTGCGCCCGTACGATCCAAAATAACGGACTTATTAAAAGCAACCGATTGTATGCCGCATTTAATAAGCTTAGACGCATCAGGTATTGATCGGATATAATTTTTTTGTCTGTACGCACTGTTGCAATATATGCGTCACGTTATTTTTCATTTATTATTTTAGGAAAGGATGATATTGATGGCAAGGATTTATGGAATTTCGTGCAAGCGCATAAACATTTAAAATTCTTGGGGCTTGTTCATTCCGATGCTTGTTACGAAGACTGTCTGATGAATCCTTCAAACAAAAACTTCAGGTCGGATCTTGTGGTAAGTCACTTTGAAGTATTATTAAAATATTCGTTAAAAATCAAGATTTTATATTATATCTCACATTTACAGGTGAGTGGTACAGCGACGGAATCTCAAATTTTAGAAGCCTTGAGGCGGTACCCGAACAGGCCAATTTACGTGCAAAAATGCCTGTACAATCTATTTCGGTTAACTTCCCACTTCAACGAAGCGCGAGTCGACGTTATAAAACTCGTGATACCCGGCATGCGAGCGCATCCGCAGAAATTCCGCGTACAAATGGCTGGTACAGCTTGCCTCTATAATCTCACGAAAGGCGAGTTGGCCACAAAAATTCACCCGTCTGTGCTAAAACAAATTGTCGATCTGACATTGACTGCTATGGAATCCTATCCTAACGAGTTTCAACTTCAGAAAAATACTCTGTTGACCCTGTGCAGTGATAGAATTTTGCAGGATGTTGCTTTTGATAAATACAGGTACAGAATATTATTTCAATGACCTTTGTTTCCAAGGCAAAGAAAAAAAAACTGTGAATGACTTGATGATTTACTTTACAGATGCGCTAAACTCGTTATGAATTGCTTATCGGCGTTCAACGATGCGTCTATGAATCGTATGTCGGTAGCTATTTGTTCAATACTGGCCGCTAAAATATCAACAATAGAAACGTCAATGCTAGGCTCACAACCTCAGTACATGGCCAAATTGTTGTCGATGGTGCGTTCAAAGGTGCAGTCCAAGTCGGTCGATATAACGATGAAATTCACCTTGAGCGCCCTGTGGAACCTGACCGACGAAAGCGCAACTACGTGCAAAGTCTTTTTGGAGGAGGGTGGCATGGAGTTGTTCTTGGAGGTGCTAGACAGTTTCCAAGGCGAGTCGAGTGTCGAGACCAAAGTACTGGGACTTCTCAACAACATTGCTGAAGTAATGAAAGGCCTCGTTGTATTGTTTGAAACGAATCCAATCAGGCAATCATAAATATTTCAAACGAAACTTTGTTCCTACATTTTTCAGGTGGTTCATCTGAGACAACGATTGATGCAGTCACGTTTTATCTCGATGCTCTCACAGCTTCTTGATTCCAAACACATCGACGTTTCGTACTTTGCAGCTGGTATAGCAGCCCACTTGCTAAGCGATGGGCCTGCTTTGTGGAACACGATCGCCTCGACTCGTCCCCAATTATTGAATCAGCTGGCACGTGCAGTAACCAACTGGCAGACACCTCAAGGCGAAATGGTGGCATATAGGAGCTTTCATCCGTTCTTTCCGTTGCTACGCTGCGCCGACGCCTATCCCGTCCAGCTCTGGGCTGCCTGGGCCATACACCACGTGTGCACCAAGAACCGTAAGTAATTTTTTTTTCTTTGCTTTAAAATTCCTCAAATTTACATGCAAAACAACCAGCTAATTGGGGTGTTGTGTTGACATTAGCTAAACGTTATTGCGATATGCTGGTGCACGAGAAAGGAGTGGAAATTCTTAAAGAGCTGGAAAACGACAGCACAACTCAGCCGGGTGTGCGAAACCTGTGTCGCGCGATCCTCGACACTCTGGCGCAACAGCCGTGATAACACGATCAAGAGCCTAAACGCCGTGTAGCCTATTATCATTATTATCATTATTATTGTCTCTCGTCGTTGAAGCATGACGATTGCGATCATGCGACTCTATTATGAAAAAAAGAAAAAAAAATGAAAAAAAAAAAAAAAAAAAAGCTGATGATCCACAATCCACGATCGTTTAGTCAAGAGGGAAAGGTCCGAGAAGCAATTTGTCGGTTATGCCTGCAAAATATACACGACAACAATGCTTTTTCTTTTCGAAATCGCGCGTCGTTATCAGTCCCACCTTATTACCGAGCAAAAGCTTACACGAAACGGATTTAAAAGAAATTAGATACTGTTGATCGAGCAAAAACATCTCTCACTGGTTGGTATGCTAGTCAATTTATTCTCTTACGAAAAAAAAAAAAAAAAAAAAAAAAACATCTATTTTCTCCCAGCCGCTTCACTCCTCTACCACCTCAATCAATATACATAGTCTTTGATGACTAAACCTTTTAGTTTTCTCTCTCTCTCTTTACCTCTGGTCCTGATTCTGCTAAGAAAATCCGTACTAGGGCTGTACTATTGCAAATCAACCAGGCATTGATTGCGAGACAGAGAAAAAAACAGACCTTTTAATTTTCTTAGATGCACTTGATGATTTATACGGCTAACGAGATGAAAAAAAAAAAAAAAGAAAAAAAAAACTAACAATACTGGGTATTTTCCAAGATTGTACATGATATATCTTCGTGGCCTCGATGTAGGCTTGTAGAGTACTTGAATGTAAGTTTTTTTTAGAATCAAATTAGATTGTTTTAGATGAGCAACATGAACTATGTGACTATATGTTATGCGATTTATTTATTTAGGTAGCTAAGTTTTTTTAATTACATTTTCCATATTAGGTATTCCATTGTTGCTTGTTTTATCTCGTTTGCTCATAACTTTCTTGTAAAGTGTTGAAAACGAATTATTTTTTTATGAAAGAAAAGCAGTAACAATTTATTTTGAATTTAAAAAAAGATTATTGATTTTTGTGAAAATTCACAAAAATCAAACATGTACATTTTATTTATTAACCATGATATCATTTCTTAACACGATTTATTATAAAATCGAACTAATTCTCGCAGATGCAGACGTGGTTCAATATTCATGAAAATTCGAATAGAAATGTACATCGTTACAGAGGATTAAGTAGCGAGAATAAAATCTTATTTTATTTGTAAGATTATATTATTAGATATTGACAATAAATTATTTGTCAATTTGTACATTGACATTTTAATACTGTTTTTAAATCTATTTACCGAAAAAAATGAATTTCAGTTTCCAAAGTATACTTTTTAAAACAGCCCTAGTCTAGATTCAAATTGTATGATTAGATTTGTGGACTGGAAAAAAAAACCCACAAAACAATTTTTGTCAAGCTAATCGATTATATTTTTGGCTACATGCCGTCCTGGGCTACTATTGTTAAAGAGTATTATAAATTATAGAAAATTATATTTGCAAATGATAACAGAGACTCTGTAGTTTAATGAGCAATTATATAATATTACCAGTTTAACGGTGCGCGCCTATGCATTGTAAACGTTGTAATTTATCAAAAGAAGAAAAAAAAAACAAATACAAGAAAGCGATATTTGCCTTTTTCCTCTGTCGATATATATAAATATATATATATATATTTGTTAATCTTGGATGTAGATCTGATCATGTCCAAGTGTTGTAGAATTAATGAAAGATATGTAATAGACGGTCGGGAAATTGATGATCGATTAATAAAAAAAATAATAAAAAATAAAAAAAAATACAGGTGCATTTTTTTTATTCAAAACCCATCATTATACGGAATGTTTTTATTTCATTCATTTTTATTCAATTTTTATTTCATCGATCGCCTACAAATCGTAATACAAATATATTGATTACGTATTACTTTTTATTATGTTATACAAATACATATTGATAAAAATTATACATTTCAGAAAATATTTTTTTTTATAGAGAGTCGTAAAAACATCTAAATCTTTTTTTTTTTTTTATTATGTACAAATTCCTTTAAACACCATTTTACTTAGTTAACACGCACGTAACAAGGCAGAGGTCAAGAAATGAAACATGGGCCTCGCGATCACAAGTCCGTCTAGTCGTAGACGGGCTTTTTATCTATACTTAAGTATAACATGTTTTCCTAAAATGAAAAAAATCAATATTTCACGCTACTTAACACTAATTTCATTATTTTCGTCAATTACTGTAAATTAAGTAAATTATTGATTATCCTGTGATTCTTCACGTAAAACTTGTAGTAATTAACGTACTTATATGAACAACATTTTTTAAATATTTTGGAATATTAAGTAGTACATTGTATTTTGCTTTAAGTATTTAATTCTAAAACCTTCATTATAAAAATACATATACCACTTTTCAGAGATCTATCAATTATACTAACACAATTACTTGTACTTGAAACAATTATCTGGTAACTCGAACTTTGATTGATACATCGTAATTGTATGAGGAATCTTTGGAAAACTACGGAACATTGCTTTGATAAAGTTCTTTCGGTTTAGCCTAATATAATCTTGTCACATTGGTCAACAATATTTACAAAAAACAATATATTTTTAATTGATGTAAAAATTTAAAAAAAACATTCAAAATATATGTACGGGAGTCAAGAATTACACCAGTTTATTATAGTACAAAAATATTCTCTGTAGTGAAGTAAATTTGTGCATTCGACGTGTCATAACTGTACATACATGTTGTGTCAGCACGAAAGCATAAAGGGTTATTGGGTTTAGATGGAGTCTGCATGGCAGTCTGCTGACCGCAGAGCTGCATTAGCAAAAATTATTCCCGATGTCCCAATCGAACTGAATTGGCGCTATCGATAATAAGCAGCATGGTTCAGTATACGGTCGGGACATACACAAGTACGATTGCTCGTTTTCACCGCGAGACGGTAGTGGGCTATAGTGGACCTAATCTCACCCAAAGTGACTACTTAAGTCGCATGACGTTAGCACATAGTCAGCTCCTCAAATGAGGCAGTTCCTTACACCGGTACCTTCTTAATACAATAATTATTAAAAGTTACCATACTCTTATTTTGCACGCATGGACATTACAGTTGGCAACGAGGTAAATCGATAAGTATATACGGAGAAATTTGAGAGTGAGCGATTTTTTCGTGAATCGCGCGCTAACAGCACAGAGTTAGAAAAAATAGTTAAAGAAAATTAATAAGAGAGCGCAAGATGTCTTATTATGAAAAATCGTTGATAGAAGTTCACCAAAGACCAGAGGGAGTCTTTCTTGATGATGTGGCGCAGCAAAAAGCCAATGAGCAAGAAAAACACAGGCTGAAGGAAAAACAAAGGAAGTTGCCAACGGCCATTTAACAGGATCGACATAGGTTGTCACACACACCGTTATCACAAGACAATTGGCAGCCTAAGCGAATTTGTGTTGGATGAAAACTGATCAATGTGGCTTGAATGTTTCCAACAATATTTTACATAGTGAGCGAAGTAGCGAGCAACAAGTTCCCTTACTAATGACTTTAACTGGAAAAGAAGCATGCGAGCTCTTAAGAAATTTGGATTGGCCAGCGTTGCCGGTTAATTTCATAGAGATATAATATTATAATAATTTCCGTTGTGAACAACTGGAAAAAAACTATGAGAGAACACCTGCAATGCGCACCACGTGTGATCACGAAGCGTTATAAATTTAAAGAGTACTGGCAACAGCCTAGAGAAGATGTCAAAACATACCTTGCGAGTTTGAAGAGGCTGTCGTAAGACTGTGAATTTTGGTGCCGGACTAGATAATAGCCGATGCAACCAATTCGTGTAAAGTATAGCGAGTGAATCGATCAAGAAAAGATTATTGGGGGAGAAGGAACTCTTCTACCAGAGGGACTTTGATATTGGTCTCTCGATAGAGCCGGCGGACCGGAATGCCGCAAAGATGCCGAATAAGAACAACGTGGATGCACTGATTAAGGGCAAAGGTGGAAGGAGTCATAGGAACAAGAAATTTGCTTCTGATGTGGGAAGGCGAATCATTGGAAATATTTTGTCGTGAAAGAAGGAGGACAAAGAAAATAAATCGTACAAAAATATGTACCTCCACAACAACGAAACAAAACTAACGCAACGTTATATATGTATATTATACGTCGCGCACATCAGCAGAGCTCGCGTTGCGCGAAAAACACCGCGTCGTGTACCGTAGCGAAAACTGTGAAACCAAGCTCACCGATTTTCAGGATGTCGCACTTGTGTATCAGATCATACACAGATCCCAGACACCCGGCCAAGTAAACGGGTACGTCGATACTCGCAAACTCCGAGACAACGTCGTGAAGAGCCGCTACTCCGGCGGAGTCTATCGACGACACGGCGCTCATGTCTACGACGATGCAGCGAAGGGTGCACCGGTTCTCGAACTCGCTTGACTCCGCGTAGGCGTTTCCGTTGCGTTTCATCAACTTGGCTCGGTACTTGAGTATCTTGCGTGGCTCTACGCCCACTTTGGCTTGTATATTCGGACCGAGTTGGCTTGCGTTGGCGAAGCTCAAGCTTCCCGAGTAATGGAATATTTTGACTCCAAAAATTTCGGCTACCTGAAAAAATCGATTTTTTTATCGGTAAATCATTGTTACTCTTTCCTTTTGTACAAGTTGGATGATTTTTCACAAACTTACTCCTATGTAGCGGCTGGTATCGAGGTATAACTCCGTGTTTGGAACATGACCGAGCAAACAACTGTACGGCCTCACGCTTTGGATGAAAATACTCGTGATTGACGCCAGCAGGCCGATAATCAAACCGACGTCGATACCAATTAACATGGTCGAGAGGAAGGTAACTGTCCACACAAGACCGTCGACTTTGCTCAATTTCCAAAACTTTATCGAATCTTTGGCTTGCACCAGGATTCCTTTAAGAGCCACCTGAAAATTATAATTCACACTTTGAGCTGCTTTGTGTGCGTCAGAAAATATTGTTCAATGTATACGTTTACTCACAACGATAATTGAAGCCAAGACACATCTTGGTAGCGGCTCGAAAAACGGGCCAATCCAAAGGAGTATCACCAACAAAAGCAAACAAGAAACTATACTAGCTAATTGGGACTTGCCTCCCACGCGCTGCTGAATTAAAGATCTACTCAACGACGCTGAGACGGGCATGCAGCAGAAAAAAGCGCTAAACAAATTACTGCCACCCTGTTAAAAGAAGCTATTGTTATTGAGATAAACTGAAGGTAATGATTTTAATTTCGAACGTTAGTTTGATTACCATTGCGAGTAATTCTTGATTAGAATCGACCTCGTAGTGCAACTTTTTGGCAAAAATTAAGCTCATCGACATTGTCACAGTGTAGGAGATAATTGTTATTGCAAAGCTATCCAAAGCAATCTTAGGAAGTAAATTGAAGGCTGGCAACTGAGGTTCAGGTATTCTATCCGGTTATACAATCATCTTAAACATTGATAAGATTTATTTCTTGCAAGCATGTTGCGTTATGATTTTATTTAAAGGATTATTCACCCTGGAGGTATGTGCCCCACAACTTTTATGCCGTACAAAGTTGGTAGTTCAAAGAAACGAGAGACCAATGCACCGACAATTACAGCTACTAATTCTATAGGCACTGGAAAACTGCATCGTTTGCTCAGCCATGGCTGCATAAAAACAGTAATTGATTGACGTAAGGATTAAACAAGCATTTCGCAAGATAAGCATGAGAAATTTAATGCAGAAAGTTTTTTCAACCGAGTACGCACGGCTATAAATTGATTATTAAATATCATTATAGAGCAAGTAATCAATGATATTATCAAGGCATTCTTGTTCATAAGGCTTATATCAGTGAAAATGATAACAATCATCTGGAACGAAAAATAAATACGGATTACCGATGTGTGATCAAAGAGATTTTCTTTTTTTGCCTCATGTGATATTTACTTTGATTAGCTTAAAGTACCCTTTTGGCTTTTTTGTATCTAATCCTATGAGATCATATACTTGCGATAACAAAACTTGCACAGCAGCTCCAGATATAAAACCATTTACAAGAACTTCATTCAACAAGGTACTAATAGCTCCTAATCTAAATATGTACATGATAATCTGAAATACATTTTGAAATATTAATATGATTTTCGGTTTAATTTTGTGCAGAAACTGCATTATTTTATTCATTTATTTTTTTTTTATATTTACTTGAAATAATCCAACCATAAATGTGACAGCAGTGGCAACTTGTACTGGTGTATAAATTTCAACATTATTTGAATTATTTAACAAATGATACCCCTCTTGTCTAGTCATATTATTTGCCAAGTAATAGTTGATGGTGTCAGTATGTGTCGCGTAAGTACTTACTGTTTTACCCGTCATTAAGCATACTACTGCAAATGTTCCTAAAGATTAAAAAAAAAAAAAGTGTTACAATAGCGTGTCTAAAATTAGTTTAAGCGTCTTTAAGTAAAAAAAATGTTACTTAAAAATAAAATACATACATGGGTATTTTTATGATTTTATTTGTACACAAAATTCGAGAATAAAAAATTAGCTTAAATAATGTAAAAAAAATTAATAGTTCATACCCATAGAAACGTGTCTGGAAGTACCAAGAAAGAAGTACATAAGGACAGGAAAGAATGCCATGTATATCCCAACAACAGGAGTCAAATTTCCTAATAGTGCATAAGCCATACCTTGAGGTATATGCATTATAGCTACAGTAATGCCGGATATTGTATCATAAATAAAATCGTTTTTCCACTTGTATTTTCTAAGCCAGTAAGTGGCTGGTATGGTACTTTGAATGCATTTTTTACAATTTGAGTTTCTTACGATTTTCTTTACACTTTGTATCACTACGAAAATTACAACATTAAAATGAAAAAAAAAAAAAAAAATTTTTTTTATTGAATAATCGTCAATCTTGCTTTTTGCATACCAGATTCTTTAGGTTTTTCATATTGGTACAACAGCCGTAAATCTTGCTCCTCAAGTACGGGTCGTTGGACATCCAATTTCAAAGTTGGTTGTGGCTCCTTTCTCTCATTTTCTGGATGAAAGAAAATTAATAAAAACACCAGAATTTTATTTTTACAAGAAAATGACCTCTTACGTAAGTATAAAAATTTAATTTTCCATTTATCCATTTTATATATCCAAGAGCGACAGATAACTTTTAAAACCTCAAACAGCCTTGATTTATTAAAATAGAAAAGAATTTTTTTTTAAAAATTAGTGTAAAAAAAATGTTTTTCCCAAAAACCGGAAGCGCTTGCGAAATACAATAAAAGAAACCACGAAAAAAAAAAAAAAAAAAAAAAAAAAAAAAAAGGAAAAAAATATCACGTCAATAACAAAATGTTCCGCACTCTCGCACACGTGCCGCGCATGACGTTCGTTCTTCCTTCCACTTAACGATTGCAACTATCGTTCATCATCAGAGTGCCCACTTCCTGCATATCATAGACGACCCACACTACTGCTCGCTCGTTTGAAGCTAAAGACAAAGACGGGCATACCTATAGTTGAGTGCGTAGGTGTATGCATTATTTAAACGAACGTTATAGTCGCGCACGATATGATGTATATCGATAAAGAGCATTATAGCCGTGTATATACATGTGCGAGGATATATACAGGTATATCGAGAAGCCAAAAAAACTCACCTTGAAAACGACGCGAGTCTCGTTGTTGGTGGTCGATGATGTTGTCGGTGCTCGATGCCATGGTTTCATAAGCCTCTCTCTCTCTCGGGTTCTACGCGCGACGTACACAGCGACGACAACGATGATGACACTGAATATTTTTTCGATAATGATGCCCCGGAAAAACCTCACTCACGAATATTATTTCTTTAACCTTCGTTTTTTTCTTTATTTATTTAAATTTCAAGCAAACGGCGAGAGCTTTCGCGCTAATTGCATCACACAGCAATTACCGCCGCGTGACCAACGACGACTACTCTTTTATATTCTCTTCTCGTTTGGCTTTGCCGTACTTTTATAATATAAGTATATGTTTGCCCCAACAACTAAGGAACTAAGCTGCCGTTTGGCTCTCGTGTGACTATATAATGTCCGAGTAGTTGACCGTAGCATTTAAATGTTAGAGGGAGAGAGCGCGAGGGAAAAAGAGAAGGAGATAAAAAAAAGAGCCACCCAACAGTGAATAATCGCTGTTTAACTTTGACGCGGCAATCTTTACTTTATTAATGTACATACAGAAGCAATGATTGTCATTTTTATTATTCTTATTATAATTATTATTATCATTATTATCGTGGAAGAGTTGAACCCCGAGAGAGCAATCATTGATTTTGTATACATACGGCGTTCAACACAGCGATATGGCTATCGTTTGAATTTGAATAATGGTTGTTTGATGAAAATTTCCAACAAAAATTCGATTTTATAAAATAATTTATTTGCTAATTCTTATTTCATCTCACATCAGTTGTTGAATGCAACTGTTTCAATGAATAAATACCTACTTGTTTACTTTTTTTACTTATACGTATCGCTAATCATTAAAAACATAGTATTATAAAGTTCACTCATTTGTGATTAAAACATTTAATTGCAAAAATTTGTACAAGGCGGAATATTATAAGCTACATAATTGAGACTTGCCATTTTTTTTCGTTTAATTTAGTCTCATTAAAATTAATCTTATATATTATTTTTGAAAGCTAAGTTACATGATACATTTACTTCTTGGCGAATGATATCTTCATTGCGTGAGACGGCGTTATCTTAAACCCTTGAAGAGCATCTTTGGCTGCTCCAGATTGTACCTCGTTTTCAAATTCCACAAATGCGATGTCGTGCCTATTTGGAACCAAGCGCACTTCCTTGAAACCAGGGAAGCTAATTCTTATTTCATCTCACATCAGTTGTTGAATGCAACTGTTTCAATGAATGAATACCTACTTGTTTACCTTTTTTATCTGACTTATACGTATCGCTAATCATTAAAAACATAGTATTATAAGCTCACTCATTTGTGATTAAAACATTTAATTGCAAAAATTTGTACAAGGCGGAATATTATAAGCGACATAATTGAGACTTGCCATTTTTTTTCGTGTAGTTTAGTCTCATTAAAATTAATCTTATATATTATTTTTAAAAGCTAAGTTATTTGATGCATTTACTTCTTGGCGAATGATATCTTCATTGCGTGAGACGGTGTTATCTTGAACCCTTGAAGAGCATCTTTGGCTGCTCCAGATTGCACCTCATTTTCGAATTCCACAAATGCGATGTCGTGCCTATTTGGAACCAATCGCACTTCCTTGAAACCAGGGAATTGGTTAAACAGCATCGACAGCATCATTTCGCTGGTTTCGTCCGGTAGGTTGGTGAGGAACAAAATTTGATTTGGAGGTTGCTCCGGCACAGCTGCATTCGTCATGCCCATTTGAGGTAGGGCTCCTGGAGCATAGCCCATTTGTTGTTGTTTGGCCTGTTCTTTGGCCCTCTTCTTGGCTCTCTTTGCCTCTTCATCAGCTGCTGGCACCACTCTCTTGGGTTTTTTGGGCCTCTCCGAAAATGTGCCCTTTAGTTTGGCAATGATGTCACTGTCCGTTTTGGCATAATTTATTCGCTGAAAGTAAAAATTGAATTACGACCAATTGTTGTTTTATACTAGAATGTAAATGAAAAAAATGACTTACCATAGGCTTGTCATAAAATGGGAATCCTTGCATAGCTCTCAGAGCATTTGTAGCACTGCTGATTTCCTTGAATATGACGAAAGCCTGTCCTCGCATCTTCAAACTTTTTAGAGCCACTATGTCCAAGATTTGCCCAAATTGTGAAAATATGGCATACAAGGACTTTTTTAACTCCTCCTTTTTAATTTTTTCATTAAGGTTATTTATATAAATAGTGTTGTTTGGCCGAATGTCGATCGTCATCTGAAAAATTTTTTTGAGGTTATGGTTGTCAATTAGATGTTAACCACAATGTTAGTATGTATTTAAGAGTCAATTTTCCGAAACAAAAAGACAAATCAGTTGAGTAAAAACCAGCTTTCCCGGTTTTAAATAAAATAAAAGTGTTTACAAGCTTTTAGAGGTGTAAAAGAAGAGCTAGAGTACTTTTATGTGTGCATTCCACGAGTTACAGAAACTGACGCAACAAGCATGAAAAGTTGAATTACTTACTGTGTTTTAAGGTTTGTCTTGATTTTCACACGTTTTTGAGCACAATATTTTTTATAAGCACTATATTAAATGACTGCAACTGAACGTTATAGCATCAATCTCTCAACCTCGAAAATTGCGTGTTGCACCTGGTACTGCAATATGCTATACTAGCTCAATATGTATGAACCCAACCTAGCAACTTACAATAATGTGTGTGTATACATGAAAACCGTTCAACCAATGAAATTACGTTTTTGGTGATTAAAAAAACATTTGTTTATCACATTCAAATTAAAAATAAAAAAAAAAAACGGAGAGAACCAAAGACATTATAACACGTATATCAAAGAACAAAGAAACTTGAAACTCTACTCAAACTTGATAAAATAATGTAAAAAAACTTGAAAAATTGAGTAGACTCCGTTTGCGAACGCGCCCCAAATATATTCAAAATCATCAGCCGCTCTGCTAGACGCCCATCGCCCATCATCATGTCCATACTCTCCATAGGCCCCATCGTAGCATCAGGCAGCATTCGGTTTTTACATTGCCCTTCGCGTGGATGGAGTTCCTATAATAGGTACTTGATGCACACCGCAACGATGAGATATATGATATTACGAGCATAACAATTTTTAAGTATAAAACCGTCCAACGTTCCTCGCGCTTTTTTAACAATAGGTGCTTTAATCCTAATAATTTTTTATACGCGCATTTTATAATCGTGAGTTGAGTGCAAGCGATTAAGGGGGAATCATGGGGGTGAGAGTCTTCCGTGCGGAAAACGCACGATGTGATTAAACTGTCGCAATTTTTCCCAAATTGAGTGCAGAGAAGCAATTTTTTACCTAGCCGGTCAGTACTTAGGTAATACACAATTGTGTTCTTCGTCAGAGAGTGGAAAAATGGAGGAGCACGACAACTGCGATTTGACAATTACATTTCAGGAGCCAAAGAAGAAGTTTTGGCTGGTGAGTTCCACTTATTGATTTATTAGTAAGCTTGATAAGGGACGCCGGGCCTGCTATTTTCACGTCACTCGCGTTTACTGTAAACATTAGTTGGACAAACAATTAAACTGCTGTCTTTTTTTCCTCGTGTAAATTATTTTCGAGGTTTTTTTTTTTTTTTTTTGTTTACTGTCACAACCGATGAGCACGATCCTGTTTTGTTTTTTTATATTTCACCTGTGATAACGCAAATGTGTTTTGTTGAAAAGCGATCAAGAAAACGGCCAAAAAGCGATGCTATCAGTATCAGTTCCATGGACACATCCCTTGACTCCACTTTGAGCAAGAGGAAGAAGCGTAGAAAAATATCAGAGGTGGCCAGTAGCTTTTTTTCATCTGTGAGCAGCAAATCACACGACAGAACCATCAATGCTTCCGAAGCCTCATTTTCAGATGTTGAACCTACTTCTGCCAAAAAAAAGTTAGTTCTCGTTTTGTTCCTACAGTACCAATGTTTAGACAGAATTATTTAAAAGTACTTTTTATTTTTTCAGGATGAGAACGAGTAATGAGTTTGCTGGTAATATTGCGGTAAGAAGCTGGATGATCGATGTCGCTGAATTGGACATTGTTTCAACTTTGAGCAGAAGGGAAATCAAAAGACAGGAGGCCATTTATGAATTATTTTGTGGCGAAAATGTGCTGTTAAATGACTTATGCATACTCAGAGATTTTTACTATCAACCACTCCAGACAACTAGTTTATTCACTGACCAAGAGTTGGAGACTGTGTTTGGAGATGTATCCAAATTTATTCTGATTCATGGAAAACTCCGAGATGAGATGGTAGAGCTTAGAGACAGATCAGGATTTACCGAGTGTTTAGGGCCAACTTTCGTTGATTGGGTATAAAAAAAAAAAAAATTATTTAATAAACTGTTCATTTTCAGCATTTCTTCAAAAATACTCATAAATGTTGCATCTTTTTTTCAGCTTGCCCAGTTAAAAGACTTATACGTGGATCGTTGTAGGACTCAAGTATGGGCAAGACATATCTTGGAATCAAAAAAGTTGTGTAAGCGTTTTCAAGACTTTTTAAAAAAGAAATCTGAAACACTGAGGTCCACCGATTTGTGGACTTACCTGGATGTACCACGCTCGAGAATAGTCAAGTATCCTCTCCTTGTGACTGAAATTTTACGACACACTCCTGGAGGTCATGTGGACGAAGCTGCTTTAAAAATAGCTAAGGAGTTATTGTCCGATCTACTGAAAGACATTGATCTAGCTATGGGTGATGCAGAATGTAAATTAGCGAAAACGCGGATAAATGTTCGGTCAGACTATGATTCTAACAAATGTATTGAAACTGCCACAGATTTAATAACTGAGGGTTATCTAAAGGACTCGAAAGGAACGGTAAGTGTTTTTAAAATTTTATGTTGCCTCTGATAATGTATTTGTGTTTTTTTTTTTTTTTTTAATTTTATACGCCTTTTTTTCTTTTTTCAGAAATTCTACTGTTTCCTGTTTAATACGTGTTACGCTATAACCAAATCAAACAGACGCCCCAATTCCAAATATAATTTGTGCTTCCCAGTCATACCTCCAGACCAGTTTAGTATACAAATAGTAACTCCAAACAAAGCTCCAGCAAGCTTCAAAGTTGGAGATCACGTTCTGTTTTGCGGCGACGAGCATCACAGACGACACTGGCTAGATTCTTTTAAACGTCTTTCACAGCCCAGATTCGAGTCTCGACGAAAACAGACTGCAGTGCTAAACGGCAAGGGTAAAGAAAATGAACCAGAAGTTCCTGAATGCATCAAAAACGAAATCGATCGATGGTCCAAGAACAACGACGACGGCTACTTTACGATTTCTTTAAGAAAGACGTTATTGAGGCACGCCAGAAACAGTATCGACAATACGTAAATTAATTAAAATGCTTTATTCGCATACTAATCAAGTCATACAATCTTAATATATTCCAATATCAGCAATACAAAGATTTGACGAACAAACTCTCTTTCCAAGTCCTAAACGGTAAGAGTTATCTTTAAGTGTAAACTAATATTACACAAAATATTTTATATTTTGTACAGCGCTATACTGCCTCGGTAAGCGTTTATATAACGAAGATTTGTATTAAACTTTTATATCATAATATTAAAATAGTTATTTTTACCCTCTCCTTGAAATTTTTTACAATTCACATTTTACTAACATCACGAAGATTACAATTTCGTCAAAATCTTCGGATCGACATTTTTACATGAGATATTTACAACTATTTTTTTTAAAGCATACTCACAAGTATAACAATTTTTATAAATAAAAATTATGATTGCGAAACTGCGTTCGATGTATATGTATATTTTGATTCCGCAATTCGCAGCAATCAATGGATTAAGAAAAATTTGTTGTGAAAAAAAAAAAAAAAAATTGACTATGTTTTCGTGGGTTTCATAGAATTGCCGTCAGGGTATCGTTTTTTGAAAACCTTAATCAATTGAGGATCAACCAAATGTACGCCATCAACTTGATTTCCAAGAGTAATCCAATTGGGCTGGACATTGTGAGGCCTGCCAAATAATTCAATTTTCCTAGTGCCAGGACTCATACGTTCTATAATTCCGTAAATTTCGTCTGGCTTGTGACTCGTGGCTCTGACCTCAGCAACGATGACATCACTATCGAGCCCACGATTGATACGCGGATTACCTTTCATACCTACGAGACAGTGCTCCTTGCCATGATTCAACCAATGTCCCGTGCGACCTGTACGAATGATCCTCTGCAATTGGTTCGTCTTCACCCAAATGATCTCGTCGACGCGCTCATAGCCCCAAAGCTGAAGACACTCTCTGCCCAACTCCATAGCCCTGCCGGTCACCCAGAGGAACAATAATCCCTCATCCTGTAACGCCGGGATGCCCAGCTGTCGCATCTCGTCATCCGACATCGTTCCATACGGCAGTTCCATGTGAATGTCCCATGGCGGATCTGCCATTATTACCGCGAATTTGCCTAACACGGTCATGTCCAGGTATCGCAGATCGCACTGTATCCACTGTGGAGGATACAAAGTTAACTCTGCGCTGGCTTTGTTCGCTAATAACGGCGAATTATCAACAGGACCGGAATTCACGGAGTGCTTGTCACTGTTGGTGCCGTTTGCCGCTCCCTCGTCCATTCCCACATTATTTTGTTGCTGCTGTTGTTGCTGCTGTTGTTGCTGCTGTTGCTGCTGCTGCTGAGTCGTTGAGCCGTCAACTTCGTAATGTACATATTTACAAGTGTCCATGTGAAAACAGGTATTTAAAAAACTACAATCGCCAAGGGATTCATCGGTGTGGCCTTGAATGATTTTCTTAAAGTGCAGTTTTTTGCACTTGTTGGCAAATCCTTGATTGAGCTTGGCGCAGTCGACTCGCGTTCCGTGAGGACAGAACTCCATCACCTGAGCTCCACCTTGAGATCTGAACCTTTCAGCCAGAGATTTTTCCTTGGATGTTTGCTTTGAGAGCAGATCCAGGATCTGTTCTCCGACTTTTTTGTTTTCTTTCTCGCGAATCGTGGGCATGGATATTAGAGACATTATATCCTCTGTGCACTTTGCATCGAGTTTGATTTGCTTCTCTGGGGGTGGATTGTCACTGGTTTCTGATGTAGTTGATTCTGTACTTTCCGCATTTTCAATGATTTCAGAAAGGCACTGAACTTGAAGCGGCGATGCTTCAGCAAAAGACAATACTGTATATCCAAACACATCATCTTCGGTAACTTCCTTGATTCTAAAAAAAAAAAAATGAGATAATAGATCTCATGACATAAGGTAAGTTCGTCAATGCTGACTTACTTAACAACATCTTGAGAGGCAAGTTTCTCCAATATTTTATTGATGTCGCCATGTGATACATCAGCATTCAAATTTTTTCTTAACTGATCCAGCAGCTCTGCAGATGTGATTGGCAAATTTGTGTTGGAGTCGTGAAGGATGTTCAATATATCACTCTCATATTCTGCTGAATTAGTTAGTGTTGTCGAGTTCGAACCTAATAAAAAAATATCGCATGATAAAGTTTAAATTATATTTCAATGATGTAATATCACACACGAATGAAGATAATAATCACCAGGAGACTTGAGAGGCTCATTACTAGGAGATGAAGTTAGGGAAGCACCAGAGGTCAGGGTAAATAATTCATGCCTCTCTCGTTTTCTCTTCTGCAGTTTTTCTCTCAAACAATTCCTTTTGATCTTGATTGCTTGAATCTCTTCGAAAGCGTCAGACATATTACTTTTGCTTTTACCAATATTCGCAAAAACACACAGAAGCTCCAAAATTCACTTTAAAGTCCGTGGTGATCGTTCCAGTTGCATTTGTAAAAGTGCCATTGATCTAACTCTATATTAGTAATAACTAACTAACAACCCCAATGATAATACCAGAAACAAGCACTTCTTTCACTCCTGCGGATTCGAAAACACCGATTTGTAACAATTGTAATTTATCACTTTTGTGTGTTTATTTTTTTTTTTTTTTCAACTAGCATGCAAAAGTTATTTCAAATTGAAAGGTCAGGTTGGGTCGTTGGGTTGACTGGCGTGTAAACCATTTAAAAAATGGCGCCTGCTGCCATCAGAGATTCTGCTGCTGCAGTTCTAACATTGTCAACAATAACAACGTTACTGTCAAACATGTATACTTAAAATACAGTTTTTCATACAATAATAGTTAAAAAAAACTTGTACAGTCAAGGTGCCAAGTTAAATTAATGGGTCTTAATCTTTAACAAGTCCGAGTTTCTTTTTGATGTATGTTTTCAGTCGGAAAGTAATATCTGCTGATTGGTTATGTTCATTATAATTTATAATGCCGGCAAATTTTTAAACAAGCAAACAATAATGATGAGAAAGAAAATATTTTATTATACTTGAAAAATAGAAATGTGAAGAAATTCGTGTTTTAACTCAAAGCAAGCGTCGAGCAATAACGCACAACAATGGATTCTGTGGTAATGTATGAAGATGACAACGATTGTGGAGATCAATGCCACTCTCAAAATGCCGGTGATATAGATTATGAATACATAGTCGAGCAAGAAACGATTTATGATCTTTACAATTATTGTCTTAGTTCTACTTTGATCGATACATTTGAGTATTTAGTGCCACTCATCATATGCGCATTGATCTGTAATGTGGCTGGTAGGATAAGTGAGTAAAACAATGACTCCTTGTCAAATGCGACATGTAAGTAGCTGATATTTTTATGACGTTTTTTCTTTTAATTTTTCAGGTAAAATACCTCACAAAGTATTTCATTGCATCATTGCTACAACCGGCATTTACACGATATGGCATTATGTGAACGAATGTTTTTATTTGTTATTAATATTTATCTGCTTATACTACTTATTCTTGTGTTTGCCAAAAAAACACCGCCAAGGAACCAAAATTTTCCTTCCATGTCTTTTATTAATTTTATACTGGTTGGTTAAGCAACTTGACAATTTTCTTTAAGTATATTATAAGAATTATAAAAAAAAAACTGTAACTGTTTTCATCCCTAGCGAAATTTTTATGAAACCAAAAGACTGGCACAAAGTAAGAGGCGTCATGATGATAGCGATAATGAAGGCTAGTAGTATTGCCAATGATATGACGGAACTGGAGGGACCTGTAAATTTATGCGAATATATTGGTTACATGTTGTGCAGTGTAAATTTATTATTTGGACCTTGGACATCATTTGAAAGTTACGTTAATTTGTATAAAAAAACTTCATGGGTATGTAAAAGTGACGATTTTTTTTCTACATTTAGCTGCATTCGTTTAAAAAAAAACATATTTACTTTTGTAGAATTTGTGGTGGATAATCATTTCGATTTGCTACCTGATAGGGGCATTTTTCTGTCTATGTATATCAAATTGCTGGATGAATTGGATCTTGAGCAACTCTGCGGGAAAGTATGTGAAAGTAAAGCTCATCAAAAACATTGAATTTGTTTCCTGTGTAATTGAACATATTTTTTCAGATGGATGGTAGCTTTCAGAGATGCCTTAGCATTCAGAACATCCCATTATTTTATTTGTTTTACAGCATCTTCTATAATGTTAGCTGGAGGGTATCCGCTTTCTCAAACGGTAATCACAAACCCTCTAAAAATCGAAATGCCTCGGTCCCTTGTCCAAGTAGTAACAAATTGGAACATTCCAATGCACATCTGGTTGAAAACGTGTAAGTATAAAAATATAACAAAAGTGTCTTTATCAAGGCAAAAAATTCCAGAAACAATTCATTCATGAAAAAAATTTCAACAGACGTATTCCGTCCCTGCCGAAAACAGTTTGGATATTTTTACGGCATAGTCATGACATACGCAGCAAGCTCTCTCCTTCATGGCTTAAATTTTCAACTTGCCGCCGTCCTCCTTAGTTTAGCTTTTTACACGTATACCGAGTATAATCTACGAGCTTTGCTAGCCAACGTTTTTAACGCTTGTATCGGGTCCAAGCCATGCTCTCTGCACAAATGCGAGCACCTCAATACTCCCGTTAACTGCTACTGGGTCACCTTGGTGAACGCCGTGTTTGGTGCTCTAGCCATATTCCATTTGGCTTATCTAGGCCTCATGTTTGACACGTCAGAGGCTCAGGAAACGGGTTACAGCTACAGTCATACCATCAACAAGTGGTCTCAACTTGGATTTGCTAGTCATTGGGTTGCCTTTGCCACTTATTGTGCTTATTACCTGATTAGGTGACAACAAATTATTTTCATGATTTTTTATATCAAACTATTTTTTCAATATTTATAAAAAAAACAATCAAGAAAAGAGTAATTTTTTTTTTTTTTTTTTTTATTGAAGTAATTAATAATCAAGGACTGGTAGAAAAGTTTAACAAAACTGCAAGCCGTACATTTAGAAGCATTGTACAAATTTTTATAAATCCATAATAAATTTGTAAAACAAATCATGAAAAATTAAATAGACAAAACTCATAATTTTCAAGCTTTTTAATTTGTTGCAAAGCCCATCTATGCATATGTTCACAATTATTTAGAAGAAATACCGTCACTTCTATATTTTACATATATTTTTTATAAAAGATGTGTTACATATATTTATATTTTCTACACATTTTTCAATTTTATTTATGTACATGTTACTTTGCTACACCAGGAAGACCCGCATACATCGCTCTTATACATATGTATACTTTTTCAGTACAAGATTGCAAATACGTTATAATCTATCTAACAAATCGTTTTTAGAAAACTAAATCTATACGTATATTAAATTTTTTTTATCAAGTGCTTATAAATGTATCATGGATACGATTGTATATTTTACAAGATTAAAGTACGTGTTCGCTTTTTACTACATTGTGATAAAACTATGGAATCTATTTTTTTTTTTTAACAAACAAAACTTTTATGTTTTTTCTCACTGCACACACAATATTCATCTGACAACTCTACAACGCTGTAATCCCTTTCATTACAAATAATTAACGCTTGTTGAAGGAGAGCTTAATCCCTTTGTTGAAAAAATACGATATCGTATCAAACACTACACGGCAGATATACTGTATATTTACGAAATCACACTTGTACTACGAATTCTGAGGATTGTCGTTACATTAACATACGGAAAATGTCACCGGGAAACTAATATACTATACTTTATCAACGGAATGGCATGACAGTATATGAATATTGAAAAAAATGCGTAAGAACAAACCGTAAAAAAAAATATCGTTTGAAGCCTAACAACTAAACTATGTCAAGAAATATGGAAAACGGACGCGTTGTCAAAAGAGGACTATAAAAAATTACGTGTATTTGTTAATTTGTGAAACCATGTGATTTTTTTCACGTGACAGATTCAGGTGATCGTAGAGTAATGATATAAGAATTTTTTTTTTTTTTCAAAATTAACATAACAATATCAAGTAATGATAGAATTAATTTTTTACTTTGTAAAATTACGTGATACAAAGCGGTTTTTCGCGATAAAAAAAATTTTTATCACGTGGCTATTATCTGAATCTATCATGTACTAGTGAAATCATGTTATAATATTAGCTAGAATTTTATTTTACAAAGCTGGACGTTTGTTGAAATGAAAAGCTCAACGTGTGCACGAGTGCGAATAATTGTGTTTTCAGTCATATAAGCTACCGCAGATCTTTAACAAGTGCAGTCTTTGAAAAAGTGTAATACAACACTGATTTATTATTTTTTTTATCGGGACGTTTAGGGTATTTCATTAAATTAATTGCATACACTTATCATAATAAACACTAGTGATCGTTTAGAACGTTTGTGCGTTCTTCCGATTTTTTTTTCTACTTTAGACACGTATAAATTGTTTATAAACTATTGAAAATCGTAAACGACCTATAACAATAAAAATAATATTCA